GAGGGTGGGCTGCTGCTGCAGGCTGGGGCTGGGAGCTGCGCCAGGCTCTTCCCAGTGGGGGGGTCTGGGCTGGGGCTGCACTTGGGGTGGGTGGTGGCAGCAGCACTGGGGTAGAGAGGGGTAAGGGGGGAAGCTACAGCCACCTCAGAATTCGCTGTAGTTCCCCCCGTAGTAACCACTCCCAGGGCTGCCGCTGCTGCCTGCCCTGAGTGCAGCCCCTGCCCCACTCCCCCCACCTCCACTCCTACCAGGAAAAGCCCGGCACTGTCCTCAGAGGCAGCCTGCCTTCTCCCCACATGCAAATCCGGGGGGCATACAGCCCAATGCCTTCCCCAGAGGTGCGCGTAAGGTCAGGATATACCCCCCTTCCCTGCGCCCCCCAGACAAGCCTCTTGCTGCTCTATCCTGTGCCCTGCCCTGCCCCAGCCCCACTCCCTCCCTCACTGCAGGGTCTTTGATCTGCCCTCCACCCCCTTCCTCCTGAGCAGACTTACCAGCTGGATGCTGCTCCCCAAGCTGCCAGGCTGGCCATGTGCATGCTGCAACTGCAATACAATGTGGACCAGTGTATCAGTGCACCTCTAGAAAAATGTAGCTCTCTATCTAATCTTCAGCGCCAAGGAATTATAGTATTCAGCAGGACAACTGGAGGAATGAAGACATGACCAAAAGTTTGTTTTTGGTCCATTGGTAGATTTGGGAAAGGACACAAGGAACAATTCAGCTTGGGTGCTGATTGCAAGAAAGATTTCTGATAAATTTCTGGTATTTCTGATAGATGTAGAAGGATTTCTTTCATTGCCTGAAAACAAATGTGGCTTCTCTCACTGTGCTTCCAATTAATAAATAGATTTAAATGCATCAACTATTCCAGTTACTAGAGTGGAAAAAATCAGATTTTCAAACAGGCTCTGCTTTGCTGGATAACCTTCCATTGCTTCATTATTTAGTTCTTCAGGCTACTTCACACAGTATTTGCCTTGAAAGGGTTTAATTTTTGTTTGTTCTTTTAATCATACACATTTTTCAGGAAGAGTTAATTTGAACTGCCCTTTAGCCAGTATATAGGAAACAAAAACAAAAGAAGAAATCATATTGTTAGCCATCAGTGACAGTTCCAAAAAAAAAACAACCTAAAGGACAAATGGGTGCTTTCTATTCTTCTTTTGTTACAGAATATGCAAGATTTAGACTTGATTGCATTAGAATTTAAAGCTGAGTTTCCCAGACCAGTAGTAAAGAGTTGAAAAGTGGACTAGAAGCTGTCAAGTTCAAGGCAACAAAGGCCTGACAAATTGTTAGCCCTAATGCACCATGATCTGTACTTCTAGATCTAATCATCTGGTCTGAAAGCAATTGAAAACAAGGTGGTGAAAAATTAGCAGGCCCTCCCATTGCCCTCTGTCTTGGACTTCTGCTTGGAGCTTACAAACCATCCAGGAATGCAGCAGGAAGGAATTTATTAATTCTTTCCCGCTCCAGCTCAGTTGTGATTTGAATTACAAACAAGTGTCTCCAACACACAAGCAGCTTCTGCTTTTGTCACAGTGATAATAAAACATTGGTTACTTGGAAAGTGTTACTTGGACTTAATTTTCTACTAATAGCTACAAAAATACTAATTTGTTTTTAAGCATACCAGAAACAGAAAATCAGGTGTTATTGACTGCTTGCTAAGTTTAGCCTAATCCCTCCAGGTCAGTTGAGTCAGCAAAGGGATATGGGGTTATTCTCCACTTCTCTCCCTCCACCCTCACCTCCACATATTAATGCAATTATTGATTCTGAATTCAGATTTAATAAAAACATTACTAACAATCTTTTGATTTACTGCATTGACATTAAAATGTTCTTCTTTATTAACAATTAACTTGCTGCTTGAGATGAGTTGGGCTTTGGCCAGAGTTTTGAAGAACAAAGCCAGTTGCCTCCATAGAGGCCCTACATTTTCCATGTTATATTTAACCATGTGAATCTTCGCTTTTACTTTAGGTGATATACGCAATGACTTGTACCTGACACTAGAGAGGGGGGATTTTGAGAGAGGTGGGAAGAGTGTGCAGAAGAACATTGAAGTGACCATGTATGTTCTTTATGCAGATGGAGAGATCCTGAAGGTAAACAAAACCTTGTTGCCTTGCTGTGTTATAGCACCCCACATTCACATTCTCTTGCTTTACCATCTTTGATGGGTCTTGGAAGCTTTTGAAAAAATAATTTCCTTCAGCTTTTAGCCCTTTTAATTTCTTTATTGCTATGATGTGGTCAATAAAATAGGCAACTACCAGAATTGAATTAACTTGGAGCAATTAATTTTAGTTGGAAAATAATATTCAACCATTAAATATACAGACAGACTAAGCATTAAGAAACATTATGTGAAAATTAATTTTGGCAGAACTTTTAACTCAGAGTGCCACATCAATAGCAGAAACATGTAGGGCAGGATCTGATTTCACTTTATGCACCTAAGTATAGCTTCCGGTTTTGATATCTATGCAGAATTTTTTTTTGTACCTTATTTACTCACATGCCACACACACTTTTGCCCCCTCCTCCTCCTCCTTCCCACCCCAGTCAGCCTTCCAAGATTGGGGTTCATGTCTTTTCTTTGCTGAAGTAGAAGCATGTACACACAATGTTTCAGTGGCTGCCAAGATAGTTGTCATTTGTCTCTGGCCCAGAAAGCTGCATTAACCCTCTCTCAGCTGCAGTAGCTGTTGGTTGAATACTGTAGCTTGTGCTTAAAGCAGCAATTGAGCTGCTGCATGCAGTCTATAGTGTCTTGAGAGAGTGTGTGCTGTGGAAACAATATTTTATTTACAGGAACTTATATAAAGAGCTATTTACGGTTAAGAAATAACAGTCTTGCTAACACCCTTGCAAGGGGCCTAGCATTGTTGTTGTCTTAACACAGCTGGAAGCTCCTGCTGTTTCTGTCCCAGACTGTCTTCTGAGATGTCGCACTTCCTGGATGCTGTGTTTCCAGGAGAATTTACTCTGTCACAGTCAGCCATGACTCTGGAAAAATCTTTTTTGTTCTACATTCTGCCTTCCAAAAACAAGGTGCATGCCTTATTGGGGTCATGGCTTATGCAAGATAATACCGTATTTCAACCTATGCACACACCTGCTGGTGGGGGTTGTAGACCCTACCATGTTTTAGCCTAATAGTCTAGCACTGAGGGCATTTGTCCTCAGGGTGGGAGACCCTGGTTCTACAGCCCCGCATCCAGAGGTGATTTGAACCAGCATCTCCTGCTCCTTAGCAAAGTGCTATAATCACCAGGCCACAGGTAAGTTATGATTTAGGCTGGGGCTAATATTCTGCTCTTTCACATCTGCTAGTCATGGATTTTATTTCAGTGTGCATACACTACTGTATGCTCTGGCCAGAGCACAGTCCTGTTGAATAAGTTCAGTGGGTGAGTGTACTCTTGCACATACAGAACTGAATTACACACTGGGCATAAGTACCAGAAACTGCAGTTACACCACTGTGTATGTGTAATTAGGCACATAACAGGATTTAGTCTTTAAAATAGCTGTTTTCAAAGAAAGAACTGGGGGGTATAATAATAACTATCTCTGAGATGACTAAATTAAGGTAAATTAAGAATGACAAATTGTAGCAACGTCAGTGTTCTTTAAGAAAAAGTGTTCAGAGAAGTACCACAAGAATGATTCTTGGATTGGACAATATACCTTCCAAGAAGAGATGTCAGTGACACAATCTATTTAACATAACACAAAAAAGGCAAAACAGTGACTTGATCATAGTCAATAAATAATGGTGTAAGAAGGAGATTTCTTATAATAGGCAGAGATCTACAGTATGGTTCAGTTGCTGAAAGCTTAGAAAATTCAAATTGGAAATTTTTAACAGACTGAATAATGGTTAGAATTACTGACTGGGGATTCCAGAACATTTGAAATCTTTAAAAGAAGTTTAGATATTATAAAAGATATCTTCTAAACTAATTCTAAATTATTGAGTTTGATGCAGGGATTACTGTTTAAAATTCCAAGACAGTAAAAAACCAATCACAGTGGTCCTTCCCTCTTAAAAAATACCCAAAAAAAGTAAATCCTCAAACTTTTTGCAAACAGAATTAAATAGAATAGACCTCATTTTCAAAGGCCCTGCCTGAACCTAAGAGTTTACAGGAAGCTGGTAGTGATTTTCTAAACACTTATTGAAAAATGTAGTATTCATTTTGTTCTTTCTTTGGGAGTCTTTATGCTTTTACAGAAAATAAATGATAAAAGAATCAGTCAGTGTGGAAAACAGTTAATGAGTATTTTGACTAAACATCTAGCAGAAATGGAGAAATATCTATACCAAAATTATTTAAGAAAAACTGCTGAAAATATAAGGTTACAAGAAAAAAATGTTTGTTCCCTTTTTTTTTTGTCTCCAAGAAAATAAACCACTTTCTGGGTTGCTGCTTTTTTCTGTTATAATTGTTTGAACTTGTTTATTATTTTTGTGTGACCTACCTTTACATAAAGTATCAAAAGACGGTTTATTATAAAAGGGCCATTTCATTTTTAAATCAAGTATAGATACTATAGCAATGTACATTAACTAATAATAATTCCCTCTTACCTTTTGCTTCCCTCACTACAATGAAAAAGCCTTTGTGTCCTGTTTCTCAGAAAAGACTAGACACTGAAGCATATAAGTATCAGAATCATTGCCACTCCACATTTTTAATTCAGAGGAGGAAAATCAAGTTGGTATACTCATTGCTTGTAATTTGATTAGAAATTAAATGGGTCTCTTGTAAGAAAGTGATTTTTGCTCATGGATTCTCCAGGGAGGGTGTAAAGTTCTTCTGTTTAATTGGATTTGGGATCCCTCTCAAATTAATTAAATACCTTTTTAAATCAGTTACTTATTTTAAATGACCAGCAAAACACTTCACATCTAAAGGCTGTAACTGTGACTGGGGGCTTATTGCATAAAGGACTGTACAGATATGTGTAAAAGTAAGAGACATCTCTTGCCCTAGAAAGCTCTCCTTCCAAGAAGATGAATACAAAGGATATAGCCTCAAAATGTAGATACTCCAAGCCAGATATAAACTGAAATATTTGTCATATTCAAAACTGGTGCAAATCTATGTAGCTTTGTTGAAAGAAAGGTATTTTGATTTACGCCAAAAGAAGGTCTGGTTGAAAATTTATAATGGTTCCTAACTTCCATAACATTATAAATGTTTGGATAGCTGCCCAAAAATGAACTTATTCATAATAACTGAGAATTTCTAAGTAGGAAATGCCCAGAGACCTGAACAAGGAGATCTGACATACCTCATAAAAATATAGAAAGTACTGATCTTAGGGCAATTACCATTAATAGAAGAAAGTGGGACTCTGCTTCCCTTTAATCTGAACTTTTTGTCACTGCCAAATATACAGTTGTATAGTTTATATTAGTTCAGAACAGAAACAAGATATATATTAAAATATCAGGCTGAACCAAAGAGGTCGACTTTAAAAAAATGCCAAATGCCAATATAAGAAATAAACATGAACACATAGAAGAAACATGCTACTGCTTAGAATTCAGTTTGGAGACTAATCCTGTCTCATCTTTTTGTTCACTGCAGTGGTGTCTGCCTGACGGAAAAAAATTGCCAATTCATCTGCCAGAGTAAAAGCAAATAAGACTAGCCATCTGGGATCACTTTTAACTTAGTGGGGTAACTTATCATTGCACATTAATACCCTTGTCCTTGTTGAAGACAGTTGACCATATTAAATACACATTGCTGTTATAAATTCAGAAAAGCCTTGAAAAATAGAAAGGTTTGGTTCTTCAAACACTGGGTTTCCGGTTTCTCTCATATTCACCAGAATACAGATTTTTGCTGTAAAGTTTGAGCAAATAAAGTTTGTATTCAAGATCTTCCTCCTAATTTAGCTGCAGATCTCTGATAGTGATGAGCTTCATCAGTTTTAATAGTCTCATCTCTGCAATGGATTTTAATATGTCTAGGCATCCATTTGCCAAAAACTTCTGCAAGTTTATTACCTTAGCTCTTTTAAGTATGCTATTAAATGAATAGCTGTTCACCTTCTGTACTCAGAATCATTCTGATTTGTTTGGTATTTTTTTCTCCAAACCATTCACAATTTTTTTGTCAAGCCATCTTACCTTTCATTGTATACATCTGTCCTAGCTAATCTACAATCTGGCCACTTAGAACAGCAGGCTTTTAATCATGTGTGTGTGACATCTCTGCCATTTCCCATCAGGAGAGAAGCTGATATCACTCAAGGACAAAATAAAATGCTGAAGGAAAAAAAATGCTGCTGAAAAGCAGTTCTCAGTAAAGGGTATGGATAAATGGACATTTTAGCTGTTTCAAAAATGCAGGGAAGGGGGTGGTGAGGAGACTGCTGAGACGCGGCATCCTCTGTTAGTCTCTGTTATGTCTGCAGAATCTTGTAGTGACATGAGTTAATTAAATAGTCCTAATTTTGACCCTAAATGAAGCAGGGTTGAAGTCAGAGTGGTTTTGCTACACTTATATCCATGCAGAATCATGCAGATGTAACAGTTGCATAGTAACAGTTTATATCAGTAGTCTTTGATATTGTTACATCTGTCTGTACCCTAAAAAGATTTCAGCTTCAGTAATACAAGGTAATATTGAAAGAGACATCGAAAAAGAATAGATTCATATTTTAAAGATTAATTATAAAGGATTTCTGGAATAATTCTTGCTACACTATTAGAAGGTGAGCTACTAATACAGTCACTGGAAAAAAATGGA